AGCAGGATTAACATCATGGGAGACTGTTAGATGCAAATCTTTATGCTTCTCTCCAGATCTGCTAAATCAGAATGTACATTTCAATAAAATTCCCAGGTGATTTCATATGCAAATTAAAGTTTGACAATCACTGAGCTAGAGCTTCTCAACAACCATATTTTATTGACATCATTAACTATAAGATGCACAAGGATGTTATGAATCACTAAACACTGACAATTAGCCTAAGTTAGAATGTACCTCAGTTGCAATTAAGATCCAGATTTTAGAGATACTAAAATATAAAACAATGTGCAATTTTGTAACTCAGAAGTGACTCTGAGGCTTATAGCTAGGCCTTGGTATCAAAAAGTGCTGAGACCTCAGGGAAACTCCCCCAGGTCAGTTCCCTCCAAGCCCCTAGATGGGCTCGGCCTTCTTTGCTGTGATGGACATCAGGGTCGTCTCATCTAATTACATGGAGGGCAGATGATCCACCAGGACACAGGCAGGGCCAGTCCCCCAACAGTCCAACTATAGGGCCAAATGCAGTCTTTTTTTTTTTTTAATAAGGTATAGTTGATACACAATCTAACATTACTTTCAAGTAAAAACACAGTGGTCCAACAGTTACCCATATCCTAAATCTTCACCCCAGCTAGTACAGTGACTGTCAATGTAGGAAGATGTTACAGAATCATTGGCTGTGTTCTCCTTGCTGTTCTACCATTCCCCTGACCAACTTATATGATGGTTGAGAATTTTTGTGCCTCTTTATTGCCCTTGCCCCTTCTACCCACCCATCCCAATCCTACCCCTGTGGTAACCACTAGTCACTTCTCAGTATCTATAAGTCTACTGCTATTTTGTTCATTTTGTTTTGTTTTTAGATTTCACAAATAAGTGAAATCCTATGATATTTGTCTTTCTCCACCTGATTATTTCACTTAGCATAATACCCTCTTGGTCCATCCATTTTGTGGCAAATGGCAAGATTTCTTCTTTTTAATGGCTGCATAATATTCCATTGGGTATATGTACCACCTCTTCTTTATGATTCATCTACTGATCAGCACTTTGGTTGCTTCCATATCTTGGCTATTGTAAATAATGTGGCAATAAACATAGGGGTGCATGTATCTTTTCAAATCAGAGATTTTGTTTTCTTTGGGTAAATTACTAGAAATAGAATTACTGGTTTATATGTTATTTCTATTTTTAATGTTATGAGGAACCTCCACACTGTTTTCTGCAGAAGTTGCACCACTTTACGTTCTCAACAATAGGGTAGGAGGGTTCCCTTTTCTCCACATTCTTGCCAACACTTGTTATTTCTAGTCTTTAGGATAGTGGCAATTCTGACTGGGATGATTGGTGATGTGGAGCATCTTTTCATATGCCTATTGGCCATCTGTATTTCTTCTTTGGAAAAATGTTCAGGTTCTCCACCCATTGTTTAATCAGGTTACTTGGATTTTTTTTGGAGTTATATGAGACTTTATATAATTTTGAAGGTTAACCCCTTATTGGGTAAATCATTTACAAATATATTATTTAATATTGTAGGTTACCTTTTTGTTTTTATGGTGTCCTTTGCTGTACAGAAGTTTTTTAGTTTGATGAAGTCCCAGTTGTTCATTTTTTATTTTGTTTCCCTTGCCCAAGGAAATGTGCCCAGAAAAAATTGCTCATGCTTATGTTCAAGATATTTTTTCCTGTATTTTCTAAAAGTTTTATGGTTTCATGTCTTACATTTAGGTCTTTAATCCATTTCGAGTTTACTTTTGTAAACTACATTCTTTCATGTAGCTGTCCAGTTTTCCCAGCACCTGTTATTACAAATGCAGTCTTGAGATGAGTTGTACTTACTATCTAAGCAGTAAGCTTTTGCCTCTGAAAAAGTTGGAATTAAGCCCATGGCCATTAAAGTAAAATGGTTGTGTGTTTTAATAACAATTTTAAACTAGGTCTCCTAACCTTTATTTGATTTTTAGAGTACTGCTTTCATAGCAAAATTCTTTCCCCTGCCAAAATACTGAAAATCACTGTGTGCAGGTTTACTTGGGTTAATTATCATTTTGCATAGTAACATCCTTAAGTTGAATTCCATATACACTCTTTACATATATATACATATATATATAGGCCATGGTTTATATACGATTATTTTACCATTTCACAATTTGATAACTTAAACAGATTTCTGTGTATTCATTTACATTTTAACAATTTTGTAGTATAATTGGTTATACCCTAAAGGCACTAAACTCTTCCTTGGGTATAAATTAGACAGTTGGGAATTTGAAGCATTAAGGAACCATTTAGGGAATTTCTGCTACTGCAACATGAATTTTAATAAGAGCCCCCTAGAGGCAGCTAAGTAGCATGGCACCTGTCTAAAGGGAAGCACACTCAGCCTGAGATGTCCTTGGTGATTAAATGAACAGAGATGCCTTTAACTGACATAAACAGGAAGACCATTGAACCCATAAAGAGGAAGAGCATGAGGTGTACACTTAAGTGGTGCTCATAAAAATACAACTCTTTCTTAAAAGAGGTGACTGCAAACTTCGCAATAGAAAGAAGGAGGTATCATAGATCCCTTCAAAATTCTTTAGGAAACCAGATATTTTGGCATGTTATAGCTTTCTCCATCATCTTCCTCTAAACTCAATCTGTAATTAGGGGCCATTTGTTTTTGAAAATATACTCAAACTAAATTTCTTCTTCTTTATTAGATTAAATTAACACTGATAACACCACCATTTACCCTACCCAGGGAAATGCAGCCTTTTTTTCACTTCTCATGACTTTACTTGCACTTCCAATAAATTCTTTCTTTTTGTCATTGAAATATACATAACAGAGGAAGCAGTTAAATTTGAAGTGAGATATCCAGAAGTGTAGTGTAAGTAATAGGAAAGATTTTTTTACATTTTTTTGTTAAGTAGTGCTCATGACCCTTGAGTAATAACCCTTCTAAATGTGCTTGTTTACTCACCAAGCCCTCACTGAGTGCCAAGTACATTTCAAGCACTGAGTAGATGCCAAATTCACAAATATGGATGAGTCCCATTGCCTTGCCTAGATTCCAAAGACACTTAGCCATCAAAATGAATTTCAGTGCTTTTATTTCAATAACAACCAAAAAATGTATTAAATGACCACCATGAAATGGGCCTGTGTGAGATGCTAAGTGAGGCTAGAAAAAGAATAAGACAAACACCTAAGCAGTGAGGGGCCTTTATTCTGCTCCTCTGCCTCACCATGGGCTACTACCACCATATGGCACGTGTTGCTTCTGTAAGTATACCGATGTTTGATCAACTAAAGTTTCTCAGAAGATTATATGCTACTACCCTAGGACATCCATTGCATGTAGTAGTGCTAGTTATGGAACATCCTTGAAATTAAGAGAACAGTTACTCAAGTAATTTTGTGTGTTCTGTGGTTCAAATGAAGACTGGTTGAGAAAACATGAAGGATGGTTGTCTTGGTTGCAGGATGGTGACTCTTACTTCCTTAGTGCTAGAACCAGGGGTGTAGTTGGTGCTCTATAACCCCTGAGTAGATTGTTTATAATTACACTCAAGTGAGATAAGTTCTATCACCAAGTTCTATGCAACATTCTAAGGCAACAGTGTGTGGTGGGTGGTCAAGAAATGTTAGAAAAAAAAGTCTCCCAGGGAGATCATATTTGAGATTCGCATTAAAAGGGAGAAGTATATCTCTAAATGAACAGGGTGGAAGATAAAATGTTGAGACAGAGGAGAAGTTGGAGAAAGGGCATGGTTGTAAAAGAACATGCAGTGTGTTTGGAGAATGTCTGGGGTCAGTCAGTATGGGTAGTAAAAGGATACAAGGAAAAGAGATGAACAATGATGCTAGATAAAAATGAGGAACTGATGGTGAAAATGGATTAAATGATGATAGGATATGACTGCTGCAATGGTTGAAATTTTGTGTATAAGAGCCACCTGTAAGTTTATTAAACTGCACATCCCTGTCCCCACAGTTTCTAATTTAACAGTGGACCTTCATTTTTAACAAAAATATGAGGTGACACAGAGGTAAATGATGCAAGGCCTTTAACAAAGGCTGCTGCTGCTGTTAACAAAGGTACCAGGGGGACTTCTAGAAAGTTCTGTCATAGGACCAGAGTTTAATAAGTTCTGAGGTAAAATGCTTGCTATGGTAGTCATTACAAACACAAATAAATATTTCTTATACAAAGCTATCTTAAAGATCTATTCTTAGAAGTCATCTAGCCAAACAGGTTCTAACTATCATTCAGTGACTAATTATCCTGAAAAGATAAAAAAGATAGGAATTTTCCACCACCACCACCACCTCCCTGCTCAAAAACATAAAATAATAAAATAATCCTAAAACCTAAGAAAAAAATGTAGGTGTAAAGAGATTCCTATCTGTCTGTTTAGTGTGTTTTGTTCCTTTTTCCCTCCCCACACTCTCCACCTCAACAGCTGGGCAGAGCATCCAGAAGCAGGTGATCAGGAAGCAGCACGAATGCGAGTCTCTACCCAGGCCCTTGGAGACTCTCCCAGGCAACCGCCTGCTTTACGCTAGCTGCTCAGCATTCTCATGAAGTCTTACAGGTTTCCATCAAACAAACTTCATTGTTTCAAACCTGTAGCTGGTCCAACATTCCAATCATAGGGTATATGATCGGTGTTTTAAAAAGAATTCAAAATACTAGGTATGCTTCTACTGCTACAAACCTCCCTACATTCTAGCAAAGGTGGATGGCTAAGCTCCGTGTGCAGTTGCCTTGTAGTACATTTTAAATAATAATTTGATCCTGGAAGAGGAATGGTGCTTATAAACAGGTAAGAGATCGCTGCCAAAGAGTTGATTTTAAGAATGATCCTATTAGGAGCTGGCTTCTAGGTAAGTTTGGGTTGGAAATTCTTAGCATGGACCAGGGAGACATCAGAGGCTGGCTACATCTTCTGTTCTACGAAGCAAAGATTCTCATACCATTCTATCCCCGCCGACTCTAGGGTGGGACTCCATTAAAGGGCATAAACCAGAGACAGAGGAGCCATCTCTGCAGTGGGTCCTATCTTCACACATGCTAAGCAGCGTGTAAGCGTGGGAAGAGCTGACGGTCCAGTTGAAGAAGGATGAGATTGAAAGTGCGGTTCCTCTTAACTCTGGGTCGTCATAGTCTGTGTCCTTGTTCTCCAGAATCCATATTCCCTTTTATTATATTAAGAACAGAAAGTGTATCTGAACCTTCACCAACTTTATTAGGAAGGAAGTAAAGAAGGGAGGAGAGAGAAAGAGAGACTAAGAGAGGGAGAGAGAACTTCTTTTTGATAATCCTCTTTCTTAGTGGAAGAACAATTCAAAAACAAGAGCCACTATAAAAAGGTACATGGTGATTCAAAGAAAAAAAATTCGGAATGGTGAAGAAGCCTGTAAAGATAAACGTAATCCTAAAATATGGGAGCTTTATGGAGCTTGAAAGAAAAAAATAGGAGACGTGATTTAATCTAGCTTTCAGTGGAATTTCCAGGATGCCAAAACCTTCTCTGAGGAAGAGATAGCAGAAGATGTTCACTCTCTCTTTTCTGTCTATAAACTTGGAATTTTATTTACGTATTTACTTCTTTGGTCCTAATATCACATACCCAATACAGTACATGTGTGGTTGTCTGCATTTTCTATGGCATCTAGTTGATGAATTCCCCAAATCTGAATGAAATTAGGTGGAAATCATTAAATCTTGGCCATTCAGATTCCCCAGTCTTTTCTATAAGGACATAAAATATTAAAGAAAAAGAAAGGGTAGGATCATTTAGTCCTATTAAAAATGAAGAGAAAACAGAGGAGACAGTTTTGGCCTTACTGTTCACCACAAGTAGAGAGAAATAGATCTTACAATTTCTGTTACCTGTTTCTCACAGAATACCTGCCCCCATCAGCTTCCATATTTTTATTGATTCCTTCCCTAGCTTCATGGAGCCAGTGAGCAAGGCCAAATATCAAAGATGTTATAGTTCTATTTAGTAACACCTGATTTGTGTCTAACTAACCAGTGAGATAAAATTGCCTCAGGGCAAAGAAAGAGCTAAACCTGTCCTATGCAACAATATAGTTTTCATGCTATTTAAATACACTCTGATTTGTAATATGTATGGAAGGCCTGGAAAACACTGACGAAATTGAAAGGTTCTTTTAAATCCAGGTCAACATTGTACAAACATACCAAAGTCCACTTAAAACACGTGTTAATGCACAATAAAATTATCAAAAGTTTTAGAAATATATGGGGATAAATTGAAGATTCAGACTTTTACCACTCTTCCCATTTCTTAGGCACATTTCAAGATTCCCCTTTGGAACATCTGACTTTCCTTAGAATTCCATTGCAGAAGTCAAGGTCCTGATTTTTTGAGAATTAATCTCATAATCATTTGAGTTAACTCAAGCCTTTGGCATACTATAACTGACACATACATGAGAATTTCTGTTGTTCCAGTAGTGTCTTAAAAACCATGTATCTAGTATGAATGTCAAACCTAGTATCAGACAATTTGATGGATAGAACCAAGGGTTAAATTCTCAAATGCCTAAACATGTAGGCTCTTTCTAGCACTCTGATTGAATTTCCCTACAATTTCTTTCTTAGATAGTCATGTTATCCAGAATGACACAAACATCAAATGTTAACATCAGAAGGAAATACAGGAATGTATATCATAGTGGTTAGAAAAAAAAAGCCCTCTAATGACACAAATGAGGAAACCAAGGCACAGAAAGATCAACTAACTCACCCCGTCTTTGCTGCTGTTATTATTATTGAAAATATGTTTTTAGTAAGTTGAGTACCCTTGATTGCAGACAGTGAAATCTTCAATTTAAGAAATGAATAACTATCCACATTTCTCAATACTTCTTTCCCCTAATTTTTCATTTGCAGATAAACTTAGAACACGAAAAAACATTTTCCCATTGTGAGTTTTCAAATGTCAGAATCTTTTATGTCATTTCTCTCTTTTCTTATACTTACCAGAATATTAATGATCGCACGATGCTACAAGCATCTCTCAAATTAACCTTGACTTTCTTGTCTGCCAGAAAAGTTTATCAAGTGGTGTTGAAGAAAGGCCATGATACAGGCACTCTTCTAGAAACTGTCCTTCTAAATAAAGTTGTGAGCTTTTTCAGGGTCCATAAAATGTTTTTCACTTTTGTTACTAGTCCTTGGCACAGAGAGTAAAATTTAGTATTTTCACTTAGAACTTCCCGTCCCCAAATTTCTAGCCCCTAATCATGACCAAAATACAGTTATATTATCTAACTACAATGATGTAATGATAAGTAATAGAACTCTAGTTAAGCAGCTATTTTATTGTTCTTACCATTTTCAGAAAATAAATAGTTCACTTCAGCTTTTTCTCTATTCATTTTTTTAACTTTTTCAACAACATACTGTATTTGAGAAGTTCTTTCTTCATGCCTTTGGAATCAGGTACATCTCTACTAAATTATTATTTTTCTTCATTTAATATAAAACTCTGTCTTGGTAATTTGCAATATTAATTGCTCATATAAGCAATCAATCTGCTTTCCTCTGTTTGGTTTTACATCCCTGATTTTCTGATATGCTTTTCTGCTTTCTTTCAATTAAGTTTATGGTTATTGAGATGTCTAAAATCCACCCACCAACTGACAAAACAACTATTCACGTTTTCTGCCCTGTTTAAAAATGCATTAAATTTCTATCCCAAACTGAAATTACATTGCATTTTCTAGCTTCTTAGAAAGCATCAAAACATTTCTGATGATTTCCTTTTCATCACCAATTGCTCCAACCCCAATTAGCAGGACAAATTTCCCAATCATGCATTCCCTATTTTGATGAAGAAATTATTACTTCGTTTCTGGGATGCTGACTCATACAATTTTTAGTGAAGCATATTTACTCTGAATTACTTGTTTTTTCATTTCTCCTTATCTTAAATTTTCTCTTTCATGTAACAGCCCACCTTTGCCCCATCATGTCTTTTGAAAAGCCAAATACATTTATTATTATTATTATTATTATTATTATTATTATTATAACATTATAATCTTTATGTCAAAAATACTTATTGGATGTATTGCACCTAGCATTGTGGGAGATATTCACAAACTTTCCCCAGCAATACATTACCATCAAACTGGGAGGCCGAGTTAGAAAGGCAAATGTATTTGACGATTCTGGGAAAAGGATGGTGGAGTAAGAAGGCAAGGCAAAAACCTCCTCCCCAAAATCACATAGAACACGAAGATACAGCAAATACAACTAACCCTGAAAATGACCTGAAGACTGCAGAACTGACTGCCAACACTGGGGAAGAAGAGAAGACCGCACAGAAAATGGTAAAGTGGCAGAGCTGAGATCTGACAGGACCCGAGCCCTCCCCATACCCCAGCCCAAGGGCAAGAGGAAGAGGAACAGAGTGGGGAGGGAGTAGGAGCCCAGGACCGTGAACAACTGGCCCTGGAGATCTGCTCCAGGAGCACGAACCCACATTACATGGTGCTCTGTTGATTAGTGGAGCTGGACAATAAAGACAGGTGGGACACTTGGGGAGGCTAAGATTCCAGCCACATGCAGAGAACAGGCATGCCCTACCAACCCCCCGAGACAGGAGCATAGCAGATAGTTTGAAAGATTTCCCAGAAGCCAGAGCACCAGAGGGACAAGGGTTACACAGAACTCTCTGCTCAGGAGAAAGGGTAGATGGGAACTCTCAAAAACCCCAGACATTCCAACCCCCTCACTGGAATGCAGCCCTGAGCCACCTCCTTGTTGCATGCAGTCTGCGGAAGGCCCACTTGGCCTGGCAGTGGAGCCAGACTCTGTGGCCAGGCAGGCAGAGGGAGACCCTCCCAGCTTTCTCACCCTGTTTCATGCCAGCTGGGGAACTGCCTGTAGTAGCCAGCCCCGGGAGCTCCTTCCTTCAGGCAGGCATTGGTTCTGCTCATGGGCAGCCCCCACCACTGCTGCAGGCTGGGCAGAGGGTGGCTCCACCCACAGCAACTCCAGCGGTGCAGCCCTCAGATTCCTCCCTGCACATGAGGCCTACAGACTGGCCCACTTGGCCTGGCAGTGGTGTCATACTTTGCTGCTGGGAAGGTAGAGAGAGACCCTCCCAGCTTTCTCAGCCCTGTTTTGGCCCAGTCGGGGAAGTGCTGCAGGAGCTCCTTCCTCCCAGCAGGCACTGGTCCCACTCACCTGTGGCCCCAGCCATTGCTGGAGGGAAGCTCCACCCACAACACCTCCGGTGATGCAGCCCCAAGTTTTCTCCCTGTGCGACTAGCTGACAGCCCACACAGCCCACCTGAAATCAGACCACTGCAAGCCAGACAGAAAGGCGCCCCATCCATTGCACACCAACAGCTGGGGCTCCCTCACTGGAAAGTAAAACGTCTTGAGCTTCTGGACACTATAGGGTGCCTCCTCCATAAAACTTAACTGCATAGGAAACACTGAAAAAATGAGGAGGCAGAGAAATTTGTTTCAAAAACTACTATGAGACAAAACACCAGAAAGAGGGCTAAAGGAAACAGAAATCACCAATCTTCTTGACAAAGACTTCAAATTAAAAGTCATAAACATGCTCATGGATCTACAGGAAAACATTCAAGATCTTGGGGAGGACCACAACAACAAGATAGATGACCTGCAGAAGAGTCACTCAGAGCTGAAGAACACAGTATCTGAAAGGCAACATACAATGGAGGGACTTCATAGCAGAATTTCACAGGTTGAAGAAGTTGTAAATGATTTAGAAATTGGGAGCAAGAAAACAATGAAACCAAAAAACAGAGACAAAAAAAGGTTCTCTAGAAACAAAAGAATAAGAAAGCTGTGTGACCAATCCAAACAGAACAATAATCTCCTAATAGAGATACTGGAAGGAGAAGAGGGAGACCAAGGGAAGAAAGTCTCTTTGAGGAAATAATTGTTGAAAACTTCCCCAATCTTCTCTAAGACAACACCAAGACATATAATAATTAAAATGGCAAAGATCAAGGACAAGGAGAGAGTATTGAAAGCAGCCAGAAAGAGAAAAAAGATTACTTATAAAGGAAATCCCACCAGGCTGTCAGCAGACTTCTCAGCAGAAACTTTACAGGCCAGAAGGGAGGGGCATGAACTATTTAATGCAGTGAAACAGAAAGACCTCCAACCAAGAATGCTCTACCAGGCAAGATAATCATTTAAATTTCAAGCAAGGGTTAAACAATTTTCAATAAAAGTTGAAGGAATTCATCACCATTAAGCCAGCCCTACAGGATATGTTAAAAGGACTGCTGTAGATGGAAATGTTCGTAAGGCTAAATAGCTGTCACTAGTGAAAATAAAACCACAGTAAAGGCAGTAGACCAATTAATTACCAAGCAAGTATGAAATTAAATCAACTAGTCACAAAATCAGTCAAGGGATACACAAAAATTACAAAATATGACACCTAATATATAAAATGTGGAGGAGGAGGAAGAAGGGGAAGGGGGAAACAAACGTACCTTAGATTGTGTTTGAAACAGAGTAATCAGCAACTTAAGATAGATTGTAAAGAAGCTATCCTTGAACTTTTGGTAACCACAAATCTAAAGCCTACTATAGATACACCAAAAAAAAAAAAAGTAAACGTATTTGTTTGTTCCTTCAGTATTATGGTAAACTTCTAAAGGCTCATTTTATTTGGAATCATGCTAGATTTCAATTTTTATAAGGCCTGAATCCTACCTCTTAGTAAGTTTGCAATCTAAGATTGAGTTGATTTATCATATAGACTTTGGAGTAATACTACCTACAGTTTGATTTTTGTGTGACCTTAGACAAGTAAGTCTTATTCTCTGACTCTCTCTCATCATCACCTCATCTATAAATTAGAGACATAAAAGCACCTATTCCATGAAGTATTTGTGAAATTTCAGTGAGATAGTCAGTGTACCTTTAAAGGAAGTAGGAGTGTTGGGAATTAGAACTGATAAACATGTATATGGCTAGTATGTAATAGATTACATACTATTTAAAATGCATAAATAAGCAGAACAATTATTATTATTATAATTTTTTTTTATGGAAATGGAACAGGAAAGCTAAGTAATTTGCCTGAGAGTTCATCCTCTTAATAGATTGAAGGAAGATTCAAACTAATTCAGTCTCATTCTAAAACCTGTTTTAGGTCAGGAGCAGTGAGATTATTGGATAAAAGCAGTAAAAAACAAACTTTGTTTTAGAATAATTGATTTATAACATATTCACATGGGGGAGGTATTAAAGCACTGGGAATATACCTGCTCTTTGGGAGATGTAATGAGGAGAGATAGGAGACTCATTCATTTATTTGTTCAACAAACATTTATTAAACCTGAGCTGCTTTCCCAGTGTGCACTGGCTGTTGAGCATCAAACAAGAAAACCTATTTCGTAGTGCCTTAAAAACCTGCAGAGACATTCATCTGCTGGTATGAAATGTAGAGCACATGCTCAAGAGGGAGATTTAGGAGACATTCACAAGGAGGAGATACTGAAGGTTAGGGAATGGGCATGCCCATCTGGAAAGGTCAGGAGCAGAGAGAAAGGTCAGGATGGGAGGAGAACGGAACCACTAGAACCTTGATAGGCACCCCTGTTAGGAAATAAAGTCAGGAAGAAGAGATGGAAAAAGAGATCTCAAAGGGAAGGGCTCTATCCTGGTCTAGGGCAGTGACCTAATGACAGGTAAGACTACAGTAGGAGTCAGCTTGAGAGGGAGATGGTTTGACTGGGGAGGAAGAGATGATTCTTGAAAGTAAATTCTCAAGTTGCTGCAGACAGTCAGAGACCATGTTCCCGCTGACACATCAGCCAAAAGTTTAAGGGATTGTGATGTGGCTAGAGGGTATTTTTATCTGAAACAGCCAAGACAGACACCCAGATCAAGTCTAGCACAGACCGTGACCCTCCCTAAGGCAGGCCCTTCCGCATGACTTTGCTCACTAAGAATCCTGTCCTAGGAAATTTTCCACAGGGCTCATAAAGACCTGAGGATCAGTCTAGCAGGAGTCTTCAAGGGAAATCCCCATTGCCATGTCCTTTGTAGGGCAGGCCCCTGAAGGCTGCCAGGCCAGATGGCAGGTGGGTCCCTCTTCCCAGAAAGAACGAAGTTCACCATCTGTTCTGCTAAATACAAAGCCTTTTCTTTGCAATTTTGACCTGGCTGAGATCTTTCTTCTAGTAGTTGTGATGAAATTGTTGCAAACTACACAGCATCCCAGTCCAGGCACAATGG